GTCTGTAGATTTGTGATGAAGCAAGTGGATAAATAATGGTGCCATTTTCTAAGGAAGAAAATACAAGAAGATGACCAGATTGGGGGAGTTGATAATAGTGGGGGAAATATTCAATTGTTTCTTGACATACTGTTTGATTTGTCTTCGAGTCATGCAAATTCAGGAGCTAGCTTGATAGGTGGAAAGCAAAATTGTTTAGGACAAAGCCTTGAGGAACCCAGATATTTTAGCTGCTGATAGAATAAAATAACATAAAGAAGACAGTTTTAGCATCCAATGAGATAGAAGGTAAACTAGGGTAGGGTGGTAATACAGAGTTCAAGGCACAGTGTTGCTTCAAAAAGGGAGTTGTATTAATGGCAGCCAATAGGCCAAGGAAGATACGAGATGGTAAGTGTCCATTTGGATTAGTAACCAAGAAGTTCCTGGAAAGGTTAAAGTTGTTTTGATGAACTGCTAAGTGTAATGCAAATAAGACTATGTTTACTTGTTAATGAGAGGTGAGGCAATGAAAACAATGAGTAGTGAGAACTCTTTTAAAATGTTGGCTATGAAGAAGAGGGGAAGAATAATTAGAATGGCAACTGGAATGACACACTCCTCTAGACCTTGTCAGGTAATAGTAAGATATCTTCAAATAATATAGTGTTTGTAAGTGTTCTAATCTAAAATACATTATATGCTGTAATAATAGGAATCAAATTAGTAGACAATTTTAATGGTATTTAAATACAAAAATTAGGAAATTGTGAGTATCTTTTTCATATTTGTGTCTCCTTTTTTTTAATCAGTTACCTGCAGCGAAGTAGGCAAACAATAAATATTCATTTGAATGATCGAAGCTCACCATGTTGCTTATGGTTTAAAGAGTAGACAGAATATTTTAGAAGGTTCTTCCTTCAAGTAGCTTTGAATTATTTCTAATTAGAAATGATTTTATCACTATCTTTTGTTTGTTTGTTTGTTTGTTTTGAGACAGAGTCTCACTCTGTCACCCAGGCTGGAGTGCAGTGGCACAATCTCAGCTCACTGCAACCTCCACCTCCCAGGTTCAAGCGATTTTCCTGCCTCAGACTCCCAAGAAGCTGGCACTACAGGTGCCTGTGACCACGCCTGGCCATATAGATATATATATACACACACATATATATTTTGTATTTTTAGTAGAGACAGGGTTTCACCGTGTTGGCCAGGCTGGTCTTGAACTCCTGACCTCATGATCCACCCACCTCAGCCTCCCAAAGTGCTGGGATTACAGGTGTGAGCCACTGCACCTGGCCAATTTTATCACTATCTTATATGTTTTTTAAAGAAAATTCCCAAATGACTTCTAAAACCAAAATATAAATTATTAGCTAGCAACTCTTATTATTGTTATTCAAAAAGAGAAAATAATTTACGAAGATGAACTTTACAAAATGTTTACCATAAATAAAATGTGCAATCATCAGTGGCAAAGAAATTTCTAAACGTTTGGGGCTAAGTAACTAAATGAGTATTCATATAATCTATAACATGGTTTAAAACATTCATAAATATATATTTCCCAACACACTGGAACTGTACAAGTAAACAAAATGATTCTTTTAAAAACTTATAAATATGTATAACCACATAAAATGTACAAATATGTGTAATATATAAAAACTGCTTAAATAATCCACAATATTTACTGGATAGTTCAGAACAGCACCACAGTGGAATGCTTCACTGATATTCCCATACAACACGGTGACAGTTTGCAGGGCCACTGCTGAACAATTCAAATATTCTGAGACTCAGGGAAGAAAATAAAATGGCCCAGAAAGATGTTAAAGGCACAGTAAAGGGAATTAATGGATCTGTAAGTTAACATACAAACATAGTAATAACACCTTTAGATCATCTTATAAAGGCATAAAAACAAAAGACCTAATGTAGGTCCCTACAGTGTAGCTCCCTTACATTATCCAGTTTTTTAATTTTTTTATTTATTTTGAGATGGAGTCTCACTCCATCACCAAGGCTGTAGTGCCATGGCACAATCTCAGCTCACTGCAACCTCCTCCTCTCCAGTTTAAGCGATTCTCCTGCCTCAGCCTCCTGAGTAGCTGGGATTACAGGGACATGGCACCGCACCCAGCTAATTTTTGTAATTTTTAAAAATAGAGACAGGGTTTCACCATGTTGGCCAGGCTGGTCTCGAACTCCCGACCTCAGGTGATCTGCTTGCATTGGCCTCCTAAAGCTCTGGGATTACAGGTGTCAGCCACTGTGCCCGGCCATATTATCCAGTTATAAAATGCATTTAAGAACTACTTGGGTTGACATGCTTTCTATTACCTTGTTCATGTTCAGCAAAATAAAAGTAATAACAGTAACAATAACAATAATTTCCTGAGTTATTCAAATCAAAATTAATATAGATATCTATGTTCAGAGCAATATGTAAAATTAAGAAATATATCAGAAATGACATTTTTGAGAAATACCACTTTAAAGAAAAATTAGTTGCACTTTTGCTTTCAAATTTTAGCCAGAAATGAAACTGTATTTTGGATTATGCTTAAGCACCATTTTGCCCCCATGATTCTTGGGATTCTTCAACTATAACTAATCAGATAGTTAATAGTGGGCCAGTAGATCTCTTTCTGGCATGTGATTGCTAAAGATTCTGGAAGTCTAGGCATTAGAAATTTGAAGAGTCCTTTACTCAATTCAAGTATTATTATTAGAAAGTTATCCTGTGCAAGACTACCTTTCTGAAGTCTGAAAGATACTTTTGAATGATGCAACATGGCAATTTGCCCTCAAGGATCATTCAAATTTTTAAAATAATAAAGACTTACATGACATTGACTAAAATAAGAAAACCATATTGTGTACAATGAGGTAATGAAAAAAGAAAGATTAATTCTTACCAGTAAGTGTCCTATGAATGAGTTATAAGTATCAAACAAATAATATATGCCAGAAACTAGGCATTGGATGTTATTATCATTCCATTAATTCTTATCTGCTGAAAGTGATGTATACATTTTCTGGTTAACTACATTAGTAATACAGTTATATACATACATAATACATATTATATCCGACTCTAAATACATAGTTGAAGATACAGTTATGTATCAATATGTATATATAAAAACATATTTAACACTGTGAAATTTTTAAAACAAAATATCTCAAAAATACTTTTATTAACTCATAAGTATTTTATAGTGAGTAACAATATTAAATGGTGCATATTGCTTATAAAGTGTATTTTACTGCATGTAAGTTTTCCTGTCTTCAGATACTGATAATAACATAAAAGCTGAACTTAACCAAACACAGTAAAGGTTACTCTTTTTAGTTAGGTTTACATATTATATAAAATTTGCTTGGGCTAATTGGCATGAAAAATGAATGTAATGAGGATATGTGTTGTAAAATAGTTTGTCACTACTATATAAATCTCTTCTGACAAAGGCTTAGTTTATGATTTCATTTTAAGAAAATGGGTTTGGAGACAGGACTAGATACAATCAAAGTATAATTGGATGTCACCACAGTCTTATCATTTCAGGTATATAAGGGGAAAGAAGATCCACAAAGGGGGAGAAGCAATGCCTGGTTATGTCTACAGAGGCAGATCATTGATGACCTCTCTTCTCTGTCCTTCCTAAAACATAAGTCTCCAGATCTCCTCTGATATATGAGATGTCAAAGGAGTTGAAGAGGCATCCCCAACAGAGATCAAAGGAATGAGTGTGCATAAATTCTGAGTGTATCTAACTAGAAATGTGCTTGTAGATTTTGTTATAGCTTGTTTCACTGTCTCAATTTATTTTCTTTCTTTTGTTGTTGTTGTTTTAATACTTTAAGTTCTGGAATACATGTGCAGAACATGAAGGTTTGTTACATAGGTATACATGTGCCACGGTGGTTTGCTGCATCCATCAACCCATCATCTACATTAGGTATTTCTCCTAATGCTATCCCTCCCATTGTCCTGCATCCCACAACAGGCCCTGGTGTGTTATGTTCCCCTCCCTGTGTCCATGTGTTCTAATTGTTCAACTCCCACTTATGAGTGAGAACATGTGGTGTTGAGTTTTCTGTTCCTCTGTTAGTATGCTGAGAATGATGGTTTCCAGTTTCATCCATGTCACTGCAAAGAACATGAACTCATTCTTCTTTATGGCTGCATAGTATTCCGTGGTGTATATGTGCCACATTTTCTTTATCCATACATGGGCATTTTGGTTGATTCCAAGTCTTTGCTATTGTGAACAGTGCTGCAGTAAACATACGTGTGCATGTGTCTTTATAGTAAAATGACTTATAATGCTTTTGATATATACCTAGTAATGAGATTGCTGGGTCAAATGGTATTTCTGGTTCTAGATCCTTGAGGAATTGTCACACTGTCTTCTACAATGGTTGAACTAATTTACACTCTCACCTACAGTGTAAAAGCGTTCCTATTTCTCCACATCCTCTCCAGCATCTGTTGTTTCTTGACTTTTTAATGATCGCCATTCTAACTGGAGTGAGGTGGTATTTTGATGGGGTTGTTTTGTTCTTTTTTCTTTTTTTTTAAGTCAGTAAATTTTTATTCAAGGAATTCCATGTTGTGATTTCTTCCACTGTGCATCAAGGTCACTTAAGATCCTCTAAAGAGTGGAGTCAAAAGATTTATCTTCAAGTTTGCCCTTTTTAATGAAACTGATCCAGTTGTCCTGTCAGCCCTACATAACAATATGGAAGTAAATCTCACATTTCTAGAGATGATTGTACAGTGAGTGAACATGAATGAGTCCTAGAAGCAGCCTGAGTTAACTCTACTACAAACTCCTTGGTTATTAGCAACCCACAAGGGTTACAATACAAAGGCAAAGCACATTTGCATAATTCAAGAGATCTAGGAGAATTTTAAAATCTCATTGATTACTGATGAAACAATTATTAGAATAAAAAGAAAAATCACACGTGGTTCACATTATATTTGTATTGCATTTCTATTATAGTTAATCAACTGTTCCCAATAAGCGGATTGCTAGCAAAGTAGCAGATAGAAAACCTACTGGGAAATTTTTTTATGGTCATGTCCACAGCAAATGAGAAAATGCATTCTAAAAGCCTTGGTAATGACCATGTTTGTTTTTTTCTTGCAAATTTGTTTAAGTTCCTTGTAGATTCTGGATATTAGTCCTTTGTCAGATGGATAGATTGCAAAACTTTTCTCCCATTCTGTAGGCTGCCTGTTCACTCTGATGATAGTTTCTTTTGCTGTGCAGAAGCTCTTTAGTTTAACTAGATCTGATTTGTCAATTTTGGCTTTTGTTGCCATTGCTTTTGGTGTTTTAGTCATAAAGTCTTTGCCCATGCCTATGTCCTGAGTGGTATTGTCCAGGTTTTCTTCTAGGGTTTTTATGGTTTTAGGTCTTATGTATATGTCTTTAATCCATTTTGAGTTAATTTTTGTATAAAGTGTAAGGAAGGGGTCCAGTTTCAGTTTTCTGCATATGGCTAGCCAGTTTTCCCAACACCATTTATTAAATAGGGAATTCTTTCCCCATTGCCTATTTTTGTCAGATCTGTCAAAGATCAGATGGTTGTAGATGTGTGGCATTATTTCTGAGGTCTCTGTTCTGTTCCCTTGGTCTATATATCTGTTTTGTTACCAGTACCATGCTGTTTTGGTTACTGTAGCCTTGTAGTATAGTATGAAGTCAGGTACCATGATACCCCCAGATTTGTTATTTTTGCTTAGGATTGTCTTGGCTATATGAGCTCTATTTTTGTTCCATATGAAATTTAGAGTAGTTTTATTCCAATTCTGTGAAGAAAGTCAATGGTGGCTTGATGGGAATAGCATTGATCTATAAATTACTTTGAGCATTATGGCCATTTTCATGATATTGATTCTTCCAAGCCATGAGCATGAAATGTTTTACCATTTGTTTGTGTCCTGTCTTATTCCCTTGAGCAGTGGTTTGTAGTTCTCATTGAAGAGGTCCCTCACATCCCTTGTAAGTTGTATTCCTAGGTATTTTATTCTCTATCAATTGCGAATGGGAGTTCATTCATTCTTAGACTCCCACACAATAATAGTGGGAGACTTTAACCCACTGTCCATATTAGACAGATCAATGAGACAGAAAATTAACAAGAATATTCAGGACTTTAACTCAGCTCTGGACCAAGTGAACCTAATAAACATCTACAGAACTCTCCATCCCAAATCAACAGAATGTACATTTTTCTCAGCACCACATAGCAGTTGTACTAAGCTTGACCAAATAATTGGAAGTAAAACACTCCTAAGCAAATGCTAAAGAACAGAAATCATAACAAACAGTCTCTCAGAAAAAAAAAGTAATCAAATTAGAACTCAGGATTAAGAAATTCACTCAAAACCGTACAACTACATGGAAACTGAACAACCTGCTCCTGAATGACTACTGGGTAAATAACAAAATTGTGACAGAGATAAATAAGTTCTTAGAAACCAGTGAGAACAAAGACACAATGCAGCAGAATCTCTGGGACAAAGCTAAAACAGTGTTTAGAGGGAAATTTACAGCACTAAATGCCCACATGAGAAAGTGGGAAAGACCTAAAATGAACACCCTAACATCACAGTTAAAAGAACTAGAGAAGCAAGAGCAAACACATTCAACAGCTAGCAGAAGAGAAGAAATAACTAAGATTTTAGAGCAGAACTGAAGGAGATAGAGACACAAAAACCTTTCAAAACATCAATGAATCCAGGAGTCAGTTTTTTGAAAAGATTAGCAAAATGGATAGACAGCAAGCCAGACTAATAAAGAAGAAAAGGGAGAAGAATCAAATAGACACAATAAAAAATGATAAAGGGGATATCACCACTGATCACACAGAAATACAAACTACCATCAGACAATACCATAAACACCTCTATGCAAGTAACCCAGAAAATCTAGAAGAAATGGATAAATTACAGGACTCATACACCGTCCCAAGACTAAACCAGGAAGGAGTTGAATGCCTGAATAGATTAATAACAAGTTCTGAAATTGAAGCAGTAATGAATAGCCTACCAACCAAGAAAAGCCCAAGACCAGATGGATTCACAGCCAAATTCTACCAGAGGTCCAAAAAGTAGCTGGTACCATTCCTTCGGAAACTATTCCAAACAATACAAAAAGTGGGACTCATCCCTAACTCATTTTATGCAGCCAGCATCATCTTGATACCAAAACCTGGCAGAGATACAACAAAAAAAAGAAAATTTCAGGCCAATATCACTGACGAACATTGATGCAAAAATCCTCAATAAAATACTGGCAAACTGAATGCAGCAGCACATTAAAAAGCTTATCCACCACGATCATATTGGGTTCATCCCTGGGATGCAAGGCTGGTTCAACATATGCAAATCAATAAACGTAATCCATCACATAAACAGAACCAATGGCAAAAACCACATGATTATATCAATAGATGCAGAAAAGGCCTTCGATAAAATTCAATACCCCTTCGTGCTGAAAACACTCAATAAACTAAGTATTGATGGAGCGTATCTCAAAATAATTAGAGATATTTATGACAAACCCACAGCCAATATCATACTGAATGGGCAAAAGCTGGAAGCATTCCCTTTGAAAACCAGCACAAGACAAGGATGCCCTCTCTCACCACTCCTGTTCAGAATAGTGTTGGAAGTTCTGGCCAGGGCAATCAGACAAGAGAAAGAAATAAAGGGTATTCAAATAGGAAGAGAGGAAGTCAAATTATCTCTGCAGAGGACATGATTATATATTTAGAAAACCCCATCATCTCAGCCCAAAAGCTCCTTAAGCTGATAAGCAACTTCAACAAAGTCTCAGGATATAAAATCAATGTGCAAAAATCACAAGCATTCCTATACATCATTTATTTTCAATAATTACTCTCACATTCAGTTTAAGTTTCCAGGTCCTTCTGTGTGGTTAGCACCATTTATGGTCATGTTGATTGTTTTAATCAGTACATTTCACAAAGCGGTGTTCATCACTGAAATTTGATGTATAACCACACCTCATATATGAACTACTATACCTCATATTTCTCTTAATAACTCATCTTACCTCCTGCTATCCAGAAGGTCAAGAACTGCTTGGTATTTAGAGGTATCTTAACTCTTTCGGGTCACTAGAAATAAGCAATTTATTAAATGGATTCTGAGTACTTGCTGCGAGTTAATGCGGTTTCAAAGAAGGGATTTGTTGTTATCTCACTCAAAGGATCAGGTCAAATAGCCTTTCTCTCTTCCATTTTCTACAATTGCTAAAGATATAATTTGGGCTCCATTTTAAACTAAATCCTTGGATAGGGAGGCATCTGAGTCTGTCCAAATCAACTCGCAATGCATTTATGAGGCACAGGGTTATGGCAGCCTACACCTCGGGGTTAAGCTCTCAAGCTGGGAGAAAGCTTTCTCTATCAGAGACCTGAGACTTTAAACTCTTTCTCCACTCAGAGACACCTCATTCTCAATATTATAGCATTTAGAAGAGGATGCAGAAGTTATTTTCACACTTAAGAACTCTCAGTCAGTCAAAGAGGCTAGTCGAAGGTCATTCTTTTTGCTTCACTCTTTGAATTTTAGGTAGCTTAAATGGTAAGAAATGTATCTCCTTCCTCTTATGTTTTCTTATGTTAATAGATTTCAGGGTTTTTCTTAGTGACAGATAAGTAGCCATATCTGCACTACGGAAAGATCGAATTTCTATGCAATTATATTTCTATGCAATTATGAATGCCATAGTAACCACAATATGAATTTTTCTTTATCTATAAATGTCTAAATCATTTATATTGGTTACATTTAGTTTCTTTTTACAGGTCTTTTTGTGCGATTAACACCTTTATGGGTTTGTCCATTAATTAAATTGTTTGGCTTCAATTATTTTGTGTGATATTGTAGGTACTACCACAAGCTAATATTTTAATTTCTTGTCTGAGTAGCTTGTAATAGAGCAGGAGAGTTACTCCAATTCAGCATCACAGGAGTGAACAAGTTCAGGGACTGGGATCCAACAGGGAAACAAAGCAGAGGTGGGTTAACTATTATCAGGACAAGCAAAAAAGAATTGCTAGCAGTTTTATGAGTGGGTTCTTATGCCAAAATCCTGTAGGGATCTCTGAGCCAGATTGGAAAAAGATCGTGATGTCTTGCATCTCAGTTGTCAGCCCTACAGTAATACATTTTACCAAGTGAGATTTCTCTTCCTCCTGCACCAGCCTTCCACACAGTCGAGACCAAAATTCAGAGGAAAATAACAGTAGGATTACAGGGCAACATGAAGTGGGAAGAAAAATGGGACATATTACAGGAATAGCTTTGGGAACAGTTCAACAATGCCCAACTTCATGTTACCAACATCAGGGGCTGCCTGCTGGAATCAGCTGCTTCCCTCTGCACATATATTCACCTCCACCTGAGCCAGGTGTTCTTAATTACCAGTTCATCCAGGCAGGCCATGCTGGGATTGCTTCATGTATTCACAGATACTATGTTAAAACCTCAGAGTTGTGGCCAAAAAGAAAAAGTCAAGCAAACACATAAAATCTGGTTTCACTTATAAAGGCGCTTTCTTATATAGGTACAGGATATCTGCCCTCCTTATTCAATAATTTCCTCTTAGTTCCTGCAGGTGTCCTATGTTCTAAACTGCATGAGAGACCCAGGAGGGTGAGAAATGGGACTGTAGTGAGATGACGGAGATAGTTTGGAGTTTCAGTTCCCACGTGATTGACTAACTATAGTGATAATTGATATGATTTGGGTCTGTGTCCCTACCTAAATCTCATGTCAAATTGTAATCCCCAATGTTGGAGGAGGGGCCTGGTGGGAGGTGATTGAATCATGGGGGTGGACTTCTCCCCTGCTGTTCTCATGATAGTGAGTAAGTTCTCTTGAGATCTGGTTGTTTTAAAATGTGTAGCACCTCCCCCTTCACTCTCTCATTCTCCTTCTCTGGTCATATAATACATGTCTGCTTCCCCTTCACCTTCTGCCATGATTGTAAGCTTCCTGAGGCCTCCCCAGGAATGCTTCCTGTACAGTCTGTGGAACTGTGAGTCAGGTAAACCTCTTTTCTTCATAAATTACTCAATCTCAGGTGATT